TGTGTATGGGTATTTTGATTAAATGCGCATGCACTAAACTATGTCAAAATAAGGTAGCATGTCAGCTGGCTCAAGAAATAATAAACTACATTCATGCAGTCTGTGATTCTTCTGAAGACAACACTATTCTTTAAGAGACAGATTTAATCCAATGAGTTTCCTTAATTTTTTTTTTCTCAAGGCTGGGAGAGAGACCATGAATTCAAAGGCAGGTGGAAAAGCCCCTCTGCCTGGTCTGCACTAAGTTGGCAGTAGCTCTTAGCACTGGGTACAGTAAAGACAAAGTTTGCTGGAGATAGTTTTCAACGGCCAGTTTGGCCAGATCAGACCCTCTTTGGCTCATTGCTGGCCTGGCCTGAGGTTTACAATAACCTGCTCATGGGAAAGAGCAGACATCTTCATTTCAGGAGCAGAAGTTTCCGAGACTGCTTTTCAGAGTCAAGCCTCTTCCATGAAAGCAAGCTTAGCTGATTCTCTGTCCTGAATACCTTTCTGACTGCTCCTTTCTTGCCTTGTAGACATGGAAACTGCCAAAAACTCATCCAGGGCAAACCCCAAAGACTATCACCAGGAGCTCTCCCCCAGGGCTTTTACCTGCATTTTACCCACGTTTTTCACCACATATGGGAAGACAGACAAAGAGGCTGGAAGATTATAGAGACTGAAGGATCACAGATTTGAAGGCAACACCCAGCCAAGCACTTTGGTTGCATGAGACCCAACTTTTCTACAATCTCTGCCTAGGATAGGTCTCTGGATGACAGACAACTAGCCAAACTTGAGTACAGGCAACACCTCTCAGTGTGGTCCAGGTGTTTTTTCTGATGGTTTGGTTGTCTTCAAATCCAAGCCACCCTCACTTCATCTGGAATAATTCTTCCAAAGGCCAACCAGAAATTGACATCTACTGGGATCCTGACTTTAGAGACATAACATTTAGATGCAAAATTTAACAGCTTCCCAAATATTTCACAACTCACTTTGGTTCAAAAGCCTTATGTTTGGATTACAGTAGTTCAAGCAGATGACCACTGTATATATTTTCTTCTTACACTGGATCATTAAAAATCATAACCAGTATCTATAATATCAAACTGAAAAAGGACATTTTCCTTCTGAGCCACTTGAACAAAAGACTCCAGTATAAGCCTACTCCACCTTACCAAACAGATTTCACTTTAAAGATTGGATTGCACCTGGCATTCACTAGTGACGATATGCCTGAAATTACATAGCATATGCTGTGTAATACAAAATCTGTTTGGCCAATGTTGTTTTTACCAGACTTACAACATGTTTCTGTCAGGAAGGGACTGACACATGAAAGAAAGGAAGTCTTAAATATTTTACGTGGAAGATTTCCATTTAAATCTATTTTGCAGTTTGGACCAATACATCTTAAGCCTGCATGTCTTTCCCTTTTTCCTACCCCTTCATCCTCCCATCCTCAACCATAAGTACAGTGGGCCAGTGTAAGTATATTTCTATTGCTCTACCAGCATTCTTGTTAGATGTGTGATTCAGCCCCAAATTCAGTCTTGACTGGAGCCACAGAGAAAATTCAAAGTTATTAAACTTTCTTCTCGTTTTACAGCAGCCGAAAGAGGCATTTTTAAAGGAAGATGCTATATCTATGCCTATCTTTGATAGCTATAACTGACTCAAGTTGTTAAAACCCAATTTTCTGTGGCTCGGTTTAAAACATAAAATCTTTTGCTTTCTTTTCGGATTTTTCTTTATTCATTGCTTGAACTTCCATAGGAACTTTAAAACTGAAATAAAGCTCTCTACACTGTGAGGAGACTGCTCGTTAGTGGAGCAAATACAATATTGCAACTAACCACAAATACTGATTTAATACAGAATTTATTTCTCCCTTAAAAACATTTGTTCTTTGTTTGGGGGGGGGGGTATTTCGTTTTCGGAGGGATTTTGGGGTTGGGGGTTTTTTTGTTTTAAATCTTAGTGGAAATCAAATTAAGAATTTGAAAACTACTGTACGGGAAAAAAAGGTCCATCTTTCAAAGCAGGCCGTTTCCTCCACATTCCATAATTTATTGCAAGGGAGCGGAAAAAAAGAAAAAGGAAGAGACAACAGAGGGAGTGAGAAACGTCAGACTGTTCAGAGAAACAGTCCCACGGAGGTCTGGGCCGGTATCTCCGTCGTGGCCGGCGCGGAGCCCCGAGACCGGGATG